GGTGATAATCTTGTTTTCTTGTGCCCAATAATGCATAATTTCATTTGATAAACACGTTTAGATTGAATGGTAATTTGTAATCAGTCACAAGAACGTCGAATCTGAATCACTTGAAAAAAACACGGGGGTGCTTAACTTTTTTCCAGGTGTATATTTTGAAAAAGTTATCCCTGTGGTGTGTTAACAAAATAACAGGAAAACTAGTTGATTTTATTGAAACATGAAAGACAGTATTATAGATCAAGCTTTTAATTTAATTTTTTATACCTTGAATATTCCCAAATATGACAACCTTTTAATTTTTTCCTTTATGTCTTAATGTGCAATTCTAGAACAAATAAGCAACATTTGGAACATCAATGCACACTTTTACATACAAGTAGAATATTTTTCTTTAATCTCCATTAATCTATTTTTGTTGTTTACAAAAGGGAGACCAATTTCTAGTTTTTCTTTATATCTCTTGCACCTATGGCTGGACAGGTTAAATAATCAAAATATGAGTATACATTTAGATGGCCTGCTTTATAATTTACACTACGTCTTTGTCATTTTTATCTCTCTGATATTCTAAAAAGTCTAAAAGGTTCACTATCTTCTGATTTATAAAAATAATTATGATAAATGCCTAGCTTCTATGTAAGTCACTTAAATACTTTGTGTAGAAAAAAGGGCCACTTTTTTTTTCTTTTGAAAAATAATTCACCACACACAATGTAGCACTGGCTATGCTCTTGAGTAACCAGTATTTAATAGATATATTCATATTATTTAATACCAGCATTATTTTTCAAATGCTAATCTGTTAAATATTTATGAAGAAATCTGAAGTTTCAAAAATATAAGATCCAGAAAATAACTAGATATTTAACATTTCCATGGTTACTCCAGAGTAAGGTGTTATTTTCTTGGGTTACTACATATGTATACAGTAATAGACATAATTATGGAAACACTAAATGTTCTTGTTGAAACATCTAGTTCAAAGAACAGTGATTTGCTTTTGTTGATCTAGGCTCTTATGGTGTGCCTATTGAGCTCTCTCCACTCATAAAACCCAGAACTTCTCCAGGGCAGTATCTGCTCATGTTCTTAGCATCCCAGAGGAGGAAATTCTCTCCAAAATGGAAGATCAGAGATTTGTGGCTGTCTGACAGACTTCTAATCAAATAAAATGGGAAATGTGAGCCAAATAGGCTCCTTATTCTTGCATCTTTTTCTTACTGCCTCCACAACAATGTCAGGTTAGATGATTTGAATTGTCCTGTGCAGCTGTATATTCCAAATCCACTCAGATGTTCCCCCCCACCAGTGATTTGATCATTTATAAACTTATTGTTTTTGTCCTCTTTTCTGTGCACAATGTGATGTCAAGGTACACATAACACATGCTGTTAATTACCAAAGTTTGTGCCCTTCTTCCAGGTTTTGTTTGAAGTGGAAAGATTAGAAAAAAGTGTATCTTCATAAAATGCTCAGATAAATCATTTATGGTGAGGAACAAAAACCGGTCTCACCAGATCCTATATCTACTCTAGAGCACTTATACATGTAGATGGTGTTCAAGGGATTTTGTTTGTCATCTTGTCTTGGAACACAAAATAGTTTCTTATTCTAATTTGGTTAAAAAAACGTCCTAAATAATTTAAACAATTGTTATATAAAAGATAAGTGAATGATACTTTTACTCTATTTTAGAATGAAGAACATGTGGAGAAGTTTTTTTATATCTAAATAAACCACAAGAAAATATTAAATTCACCGTGTAAGAAGAAAAAGACTGGTGGATAGAGCATAGTTTACCAAGGTGTGTGAAGCATCAAACATTTTAAAACATGCTAGACAATCGTGCTATTGAGGAATTTGAAATTATTAAAACTGAGGAAAATGGTTATTACAAATTAAAGAAACATGGGCCTTCAGAAATCTAAATACAAAACTGAATAAGACAGTCTAATACTGGAGAATGTTTATTGGGAGTGTAATTAAACTACTACTAAGTATTTGTTAATGATTGTTGTTCAGTCTCGTGCTTGCTCTGTGGAATCAGGCTATTGTTTAATGTTGCACTACCCATTCCATCATGGGCAGAACCTGTGTATGTCAGATGACCTGTCAAACACAAAAATATAAAAGGGGAGCTGAATTATAAACCTCCAAAGGCTTCTCTTTTAGGGCTATTCAGGACTAGAAAAAAATGGCCTCTTTTAGTCAGTGGAACTATTGAGGTTTACATCAAGGCACTGATTGACATCTGCCATTTTTTTTGTATCACCTTACAGAAAGAAATCCAGATCCTGCCAGTTCAATTACCATTTGACAGGTTTTTTTCATGCACAAGGACCTGTTATGTTCATGGGAGAGCAGCATTGTCACCTTACACTGGAGTTTCTGAATTTTAAAACCACGAATCATCACGTTCGTGACTCGCAGGCTTATCGTTCTTGTCAATGTCGTCGTCTTCATGAAGAGATAAAGCTGAAACATAGAAGATGGGAAGTCAATATGGGACAGTCCTCCCCAAATTTGGTCCAGATCCAGATTCTGAATCACTTTGAAGTATTTTTATAGTGGGAAGATAGGGCATTTTCACGATTTTGGGTTAATAACTCTGTAAAATGTGATCGGATTTGTACCAAATTTCATGGGCACATTAAGGTTGAGACTCCTCATCACACTACAAAAAATTATCCAGATTGTTGATAATTCTAGATCGGAGAAGGATGTTCTGAGTTTTCGAAGGTGAAATTTGATGTTATCCAATATAAATGCATGAAATCTTGAAAAGGAATGGTGGAGCAAGGGTATGCAATCTCTCCGATTGCTCTGGTTCAATATTGAAAGAATTTTCTGTGTTCTTACTCACATATTGAGACTTTTGCAATCTTTCATAATTAAAAACAAATTCTTTACTTATCACTTTCTCTAAATCCAAAATACAGTCGAACCTCCCAGACCCAGAAATCCCTTTTCTGGCTAATTTTAAGAAAATGGACAGATATTACTTTTACAATAAAAATGTTTTAAACATGCTTATGTCTTTTCTGTTCGATGTAAAATACTGTGTACAGTACAATAAAGTACAGTATTGTTCAAAAAATTAAATATTTTTCTCTTCAGATTGGTCTGCAGATGTGGTAGGCAGACTGTCCTACAGGGGTGCCACGGTATTCAAAGGTGTAACTTTGAAATCTTGGTACTGTGTACGATGCTAGAACAAGAATTTTCTTAGAAAGTTAAAAACGATCAAAGAGTACTGTTTTACTTGCATAAAAATCATTTATTTTACTTCAGCAAATTACAAATATTTATAAACTTCTTAAATGCACAAATACGCCTTGTAATATTTATAGAAGTACATATAACCAGTGTAAAAGCAAATAAAATACTTGGTCCATACACAGGAAATTAAAAATAACATTGGTAACCTCGTATTTTTTCTTTGGCACAAAGCCTCTTGTGGTTCCACACATGGTAGTACAAAACTGTAGTTTCTTTAGTAACAATTTAATAAAAGTTTTCTTTCATCCATTTAGAATATATTACTGATATCATAAAAAAAACATTTGTAAATTGACTATATATCAAGGTATAACTTTTTAAGACAACTTATATTATGAAACTATAAAATCTTTATGTATTAATCATCTTATAAGGTTACTTCAGTTGTAGTATATCTTGACTGAAATTCTGTAATTGATAAAATTATCAGCAAACACAGTCCAATTTAATATGGAATGGAATAAGATAATTACATTTATTCGTGCTTTAAAAATGTTTAAATTTAAACAGTTTGTTACAGTTATTGTTTCTCAAATGGTTGTATTAGGATGTCTATGTGGCAACTATCACATTTTAGTGTTATTTTAATTTCAATATTTACTCATTACCATAATATTTCAAATGTTCAAACTTCCATGTCAAGCTAAAATGGCCTTTACTATAATACTACCTTGCATTTTAAATTACTAATTAGCTTTTATTTTATTTGGATAGTGTACCAATAACAAAAAATATAAAGTTATTACACTTTTATTTCCAATGTGTTCTTAGTTCAATAAACCAAAAGTATATATTTTTAACTAATGCTTATGAAAATTAAAATTCACTAAATATTAACTTGTAAAAATCAATAGTAATGTTAACTTTAAAAACAACTTTTAAAGGTAAAGAAAAATATTGATTACATACACATATTAACAATACAAAAATGAATTCAATGCACACAACAAATACACATAATTAAAGATCACTTTAGCAAGTCTACATTTTAGTACTGGCCATCAATATGTAACACAGCATAATCCAAAATACACACACATGTAAAATGTAAATCATTAATATAAAACACTCTCTTAAGCTACATATCCATAGAATACCAGCATGATACAACATATATTCCTCAGGAAACTGTTGAACCTTTAAAATATAAGTGTAAAAATAGTCAGTGTAATTAATTAGATATATAATTTGTAGCCAAATTATTTCTCACATAGCCAATATGAATATTACTGAAGAAAGTCACATCCTATTTGTACAAGTACATAAATCCTTAAAAGCATGATTATGCAAGTTACATTTACTGCATTGTTTGTTACATTCATATTCAATTTCTGGGACTCAATGCACACTTTTACCCATACATATCACTTTTTAAAAACACATTACACTTGCATTTAATTCAATCATCAACAATAGCACTAAGCAAAGTGCATGACCAGAAAAACATTAATACACACTATTAAACATCCTACATCAAGCAAAACACATCAAAAAATAAAATACCTGTATTTGGACATAAATGCATATTTGACATTTTAAACACAAGAACGCAAACTACAAAGAACTAGAATACATAATATCTGAGAATAAATGCTGAAAAAAAAAAGGAAACTTACCACAAAAATACTGATGATAGCCCTTAAAGTGCTACTCAAAAATAGAGAAAACTGACTTGACGTGGTAACTAGTAATGTGTTTCTCTTTTTCTTCACCATTAATAAATCGTTTTTACAGAAATGAAGCCTTTTTCATTGAAGCTAGGTTTTAGACCTGGAACACAGTGTATATTTATGTATATTTTGTCCTTTTACTTCTCTGCATTAGAATACATAAATCCATTAGAGTGAAAATGGTTTGCTAAGTCACCTTAAAAAATTAGTTTGCATCATACATGCATTGCAAAGTATATAACGTATGTCCTTTAAGAGAGATGCTATTCGTTGAGAATTTAATCACTGTAGTACCAGCACATGATAACTCCTTGTATCAAACTCATTTTCAAGTACTACCACAAGTTATCACCTAGCCAACTAGGAGTTACTACAGTTTAGCTAATGAAGGCCACAACACTGCTGACTTGACTAAAATTAGATACGTTCTAGTCTTTACATCGGATAAAGATGACATTTTTAATTTCGTAGTTTACAATAATTTGATTGTTTCTTCCAACAGAGAATAAAATGTCCAACTTTTCAATATTAACATTAAAAATATAATTAAAATTAGTCTTAAGCATCAGTTTAACTGTTTAAAACTACATAATACATCAACAAAAGCAATTAAAGGCTTGTATGTATTGCACAACCATGCAATACCAATGTAAACATAGCTGCCTACTGGAAGAAAATTAAATACAAAACTTCTGGTTTCAAAGTATATTGTAAAGCAATGCAGTAGAATATTTTTATTTTATTAAGGATTAACAAGTTATAATCTACCTGTAGTTTAGTAAAATTTCAACCCACTTATGACTAGAAGCAATATACTGTAATTTGTAATTAAGCAAATAATGCACTCTGTAAGCATGAAAGCTTCACAAATGTGGTCAAGCCAAATTATAACAAAAATAATTTTGAATAAATAATATTGTTCCTTACACAATCTACATACACTGCTATTAAGTCATATAATTTATTACTTCATGTCATAAATACTATGGAATATCAGTACAAACAAGTGTTACATCAGGAGGAATCATTGGTTGTACAGTAGTTTTATAAGTTCAAAGTTATTGCAATTTTACACATGAAGAACATATTGTATGAGAAAAGTGTTGGTTGTGGCAAGAGAGAAAGAACTGGGTATAATAATATTGAGGAAAGACTGCAGCCTGAGGAAGTGGCTGTGATGACTAGACCTAACAAGGTACTGAAACTAACCTTGAGAAATTTTGAGTTTAAAAGTATGAAAGCTAATGACACTTTGTACAAGGTTTTGTTTAACCTTTATCTGGAGAACTGCTTTGAGTTTGTATGTTTTTATATGTGAAAATTATAGCACTGTTAGACAAAAAAAAGAAGTCTCAAAGTGTTAACTGATTGGAAAAATTTGACCCATGGGAGACACTTTCACAGTTTAACATGTTTTTTTTATTAACTATACTAGATATGAACTGTTGGGTGGGATGTTGGATGCAAAAAGGTACATTTAGTTTTAGACTTGATGCTTTGGCTGGTATCCTACCTGTACTATTTTCTTGCTTATTCTTCCATACGTTCTATATGTTTTACACAAGTTACATTGTATATGATAAGCAATAGGTGTTAATCTTTGTTGAAGGAATTGTGAACAACTACATGCCAGTATTCTATATATGCCCCCCCCCCCCTTACGACCTTAATTCCAATACTTTGGAGTTGGATGGTAATTATATAAGCCAAGGATTTTTACACTCTGGTGGCTGGCCCAGTTGCCAACCATATAGGAATGAACAAATGGGGATTCCTACTCGCGATCTTCAGATTGCAAGTCGAGCATGCTAACCATCAGGCCATACATGGGGGGTGTATGTATTTATTAGACTCGCATATAAAATTACAAAATACACTGTATTTATACTGGTGATTTCATATGATAACCTTTAATACACAGAGTTTTTAATATATGTGTCTGTTTGCTATCTGGTCTGAAGTATCCATACAAGAGTTATCAGTAACTACAGTACATTATAACACCATTGCATAAAAATCAGGAGTCTTAAGTTCTTATATATACATATAGTTTTATATGTATATTTATATCCACCAAGATCTTCTAGAAGCAAAAATGTACATTCAATGTGTGGTTTAATCTACCAACAGTGTGTGTGTGTGTGTGTGTGTGTGTAAATAAGAGGTAAAAATTGTAAAACTATTTCTATGTTAATCAGTTATACATGGACTGGTTTACAATAATTAGCTTACGGTTATAAAAGATTACATGAAACTTTCGTAGGCAATTACTATAGTTGTTCACAGTGAAGGAATGGTTTGTCATTTTGCTCTTTTTCAATTTTTATAAATGTATCATGTCAAATTCCACATAGCATGCTTTATATACTAGATTTCTGAGGCTCTAATACAGGTTTTCAAATTCATGTTGGTCAAAATTTAGGGCCCATTTTAATTATTAATGGCACAAATGTAGGAATTTTTAGTGACAATTGTGATTTTCTTAGGGTATGTCTTCTAAACAGCTTACCTTGTTCTCAAACAAATAGCAACAACTAAACTCACAGACAATTTATTTTGCTTCTTAAATGTTTTCCCTCTGAATCCTAGTATTCAGCATTGGTTACCATACTTCATACTTGGAAAATATAAAAAGAAACAACTGATTAGAATCAATATATTTAACTCTTACTGCTTCTAACATAACAATTACAGTTTTGTCTTTTATAAAGGCTTTCTGCTAGTTTCATTTGCTCATCCACATGCCTTTGTTTTGTTTTGGCCTTCTCTAATTCATCTTTAAACCTTTTCTTGTACACATTATGAGTATGTCTGCCTGCTTCTTGTAGTCTTTGTTACAGGTATTTCTGAAACTTTGACCCCACCAACTTTTATTGCATCCTTCAGTATTCTTATAATGTTCTTGAAATTACCTGACATAACTGTCCCTTCTTTTGTTAGCATTTTCTTGTTTTCAGACCAGTTTTGGTTAACTTTAGCAAAGATGCTTTCACAAGTTTTACTCTAATGTTGTATTTTTAGTTCCATCAGCAATTTTGCTTGGTAAAACGTTACACTAGTAATGATCCATTTTGCCTTTCTTATTTTCTTCTTAGCTCTCAGGGATATCTTCTAACTAATATATTTTCAACTCGTCTGTCAATTGTGCATTTCATGCTTCTGAACCACTTGAGATATTTTCAGTGCAATGTTTCTATTTTTTTTTTAACCATCACTCTCTTCTTTCTGTATTAAAAGATGAAGACATAACAAATTCATCAGCTGATCAATTTCAAGAGGCACTTTTTTCTGAAGATATCTGGTCACAGTCTGCAAAAAGTTCTCAATGTTCATAGTGAAAAGTTCAAGCTTCTTTTTGCAACAATGATCAAATAGATTGCTAAATTCCCACATCAGCTAATTGACTGCCTTGTTTTTTGACATCAATGAACAGATGTTTCTTTACATGTTATGCTGAGATCAGAGTGCTTCTGAAAAATCTGAACATGAATGACTTGAGGATTCCTAACATTTTTGAATGTAGAATATGGATTAACACATTAACTACTGCAATGCTTGGCAGCATCTATGGCAAGTGCTGATAAGAGTTTCTGTGCAACATTATTGTGTTTCCAATTTAAATAATAGCAATAATAACAAATCTAAAACATGTACTCTCTAAATTTTTGTATTTATGATGCACATGTGCATCCTCAGCAGTGAACATGTTAAGGAGTCCTTCTGCTGAAAAATATTTAGACATCTATCAAACAGAGATTGTACACTCAGAATTAATTTAATTTGTGCCAATGCTGATGGTATCTTCAGCAGCTTACAGATATGAAGGTATTCTTCATTCTTGTCAAGAAATTTGGTTGTTTTGAGTTATCTTTGGCAGGACTGAGAAATATTAAGCATAGGTTCCCAGTTCTTTATAACCATTGCAAAGATGGTAGCAATGCCAATTACCTACATTGCATGGCCTAATGAACAACTTTCCATCAAATCCAATTTCCTATCACATCTCTTAAAAATCTAAACTTTTTTTTTCATTGAGAAAATGAAATACATTAAAAACCCACTGGTTAGCCCAAATATTATGCTAGGTACTCTTTTTTAGAATTTGATACCTACAGTGGTACCATATGGTACAAAGTATAAAATTGTAAAAAGTGCATAGTCTCATATTTGGGATATCCAATTGTTTGCATAACTTCTATGAATTTAAATTTAATACAATGTATATGTATAGGTATATGAAGGGTTTAGGTGTAAATGCTTAATATTCAATTTTGCACATTTTAAAATGTTTTTCTGCAGCTTTCACAAAAAATATGAAATCAAAAGTGGGCAAGTTATTAAATAAACATCATTACAAATTGTTATTCAAAACACTTACAAATCTAAACATATTGTTTATTTAAAATTTTACAGAATCTATTTTATTTTTGGTCCTAACATTTTGTATCATTACATCTTTTTAGCCAAAATGCTATATATTCATCAATGCAATGCCATTTGGTATACAACTCTGTGCATTTAGGCTCTTCACAGATGTTCGCTCATTCATTATAATTTTACGGAGCAACATTCAGTATATCCCAGGCATGAACTGATTTTAAAAAATCACAGTTTACATTAATGCTGCCAGGAACTGAAATAGTGTTTAATATATATATGTTTAAAGCTTTTTACAAATTTCATTGTAAATATATTTTTCCTACAGGTGGCAGTCAAACTTTACTAGACTCTTACTGTAGACAAAAACAAAGCAACAGTATCACTCAATTAATTTAAATGCTTTTGTTACCATGTGTATGTGTTACTGCAGGTTTGTGCATTAAAGGGATACATAGTTTTAATTTAAGATTTAGAGGTTGCCTTTTATGTGCAGGACTTTCACAGTTCAGATTTCTTTGAAACTTGCATGCCTTTAGAAATGTATCTGTACTGTTCTTCTAGCAATAAAAATGGACAATCTGAAAAAAAACAAAAAAAACTACTTGTCCTTGCCCAATAGGAAAAGTATCATGGCAAAAATGTGTTGTCCCAGGCACCTAGCAATATGAATTCTATACCTCTGGTGCTGCAAGATTCCAAAAATGAGTAATTGAACTTAACTTTAGTAACAATTTTAAAATAAAATAAAATAAAAAATAGGATAGTTCTGTTGTGTACAATGCAACATATCAAGTGTTAACTTAAAAGTTTTATATCCTATAACAGACTGTTAGTCCAAAGCAATATAATTTTTCATACATACAGTTTGATTCATCTGTAGTTCGACTCCAAAGTAACACAAGTTTTATATTCACAGTTCATCCCTTGGGGCAGAAGTAATGGTACCAGAATCTTCTGTGTCGCTTATGTAGTTGTCCTCTCCAGTATAATGAGTAGGATAAACCAAAAGTGGATTGGCAGAAAAGGCCTTCAAATTTCTCTTAGCAAAGTACTGTTTCCAAGTTTCTTCTGGATGACGATTAAACATGATTGGCAGGTATTCGTCTACAGGGACCAATTTAGATAATGGCTGAGCATTTACTAATTTATAGGCACCTTCTAAGGTAATTACATAACAAAGTGTCCAGTAAGAATAGTCTACATGAACTAAAGTTGATATGCCTTCGACAACTGGTTCATCTGAATCGGACAGTCGCTTTCTACCTAGATAAGCCAGATCCCATTCCAATTGTTTTTGCTTCATTTCATTCATTAAATTGTTTAACTTCTGCCGGAAGTAAGGTTCAAAACGAATATCATCTTCAAATACTAAAGCTATTCTGTGTTGATTATGAATAATATCTTTCCAAATACTATAGTGACTCATAAAACATCCTATTTCTCCCATAGTTAAAGGTCTTTTATGATATGGATCTTTATATTCTGGAAGCATTTTAATTCCTTGTTCTTGAATATAACTTTCATTCAACTGTTTACCATCTACAGCATCAATAACCTTTGCTTTTATACCCAATACATCAAAACAATATTGCATTCGTTTTCTTTTTTCAAACCTACGTAACAAATTAATCATATAAACCTGGTCAAAACCCAGGGTATCTTTGGGAGGATGAGACACAAGATGCTGTAGATGAGGTGAAACATCTAAAGGTGGTCCGTCAACTGTCACCTCTAATTTAAGATTTGTCAGTTGTTCCTTGTCATCAGTCAATGTTTTTGTTGCATCCATTGGTGGAAGAATGAATCCAAACACTTCTGTGTTCAAAACATACATCTTAGTGTTACTAGCTTTAGCTGAATGTGCAAAAGTGATAATATCATCTCTGGGACCTAAATACCCAGATAGTTGATCAGGATTATATGTTAAACTTGATGATTTTTTATGATGCAAGTTCACCAGAACTGCAGAATGAACCATTGGAACCTCAAAGCATCCTGTTTTTTCATAATTCAGGATAGGGAGGTAATCTTCAGTTCTTATATAATAACCTTTTTCTGTCATTCCACACCAAAAATTTGAGTATGATCCTAATGATTCTAACATTGGTGCTACAACGTTTTTTTCTGCTCAAGCAGTCTTAGCAAAGTGTTTTCATTTGTTAAAAACACATCACAATCAACTATGAAAATATAATCTGCCCACAGGTTTCTTGCTGCTTCTAGAGAGTTTTCACGTAAACTTATTATATGATCAAAATGAATTGGTGACCAGTCAAATATACCTTTTTCATCCAGATACGAATCATATGTGTCATCTACAACCAAATCAACCTTATGATAGTTCTTTTTTTCCTTAGCAACCCAAGTTTTAATTATAGAGCTGGTTTCATCCAAATTATGATCAGTTCTTATCCATAAAATAATGCGAGATTTGGGATAATTTAGATTTTCTAGCTGCCCAAGAAAGTATGGTAATGTATGCGCTTTATTTCGAGCTAAAATTGCTATCAAAATAGTTGGTAAAAACTCTTCAGCTCTTTCATCTTCTGAACTATTTGAACTTTTTTCTACTGGATTTTGCTCACTCAAAGCAGGTATTGAACATAGGTTAATAAAAGTTCCTAATGTGAAAATAACTGAAAGTGTTTTACTTCGATGCTTCAGAACATTAATCATGACAACAGATTGCAGTCAGCAGTCAATCATTTACAAAATTGGTATTACAATTTAAGATAATCTGGTTTTGCTGTTCCTATTAATTATAAGTTCTCCAGTCTCCAGTATTTTTAACTACAAACCTAAAAAAAAAAAAATCATATTTTCATCATTTAAACAATACATTTTGCAAAAATTATATCTGTTAAGCTCATAACACTGCATAATATGATAATTTCTTAATTAACACAAAGTTATTCATAAGCTGTACAGTCTGTAAGTGTAAACCTAATAAGTATGACCGACATTCACGACTAAGTTAGGGCTAGGCTAAACTAATCTAGCCAAGCCCTCGAGTCACTCACATTTTTTTTTATCATAACTTCACTGAGACTGAGAGTAAGATTAACTGAATCACATAAAAATACGTGACATTTTCTGAAACGGCTTAAAAGGGGGAATTCTTTAGTGATGTCATCACGATTAATTGTAAAAACAACACTAAATTTCAGATTTAAAGCATATTTGTCTTACCAAAATAATTTTCGAATTTATCTCTTTTTAGTCAACTTTAATATCACTACTATACGGACGAAACCTAATAGGTTAATGACCTAAGCCTACACTACAGATTCAAAATAATCCGCAGCACATATTGTGGTGATTGATAGTTGTGACGTAAGCGTACACGTTTTGTATCGAATTTTCAAACTTTTGAATTAGTGATTTAATGTCTCTGGTGTAATTGATTGCTTATCCGTAGACAACCCAATCATTTGTGATTATCCTCTAGTGTGTGACAGAGCTAAATGAAACTGTTAAACGTTCAATAATAGAACAGTATTTAATAAAGTATCTTATTAACAACCTTGTCCTAATTAAATGAAAGTTTATTAATATTATGCAAATAATTATTGGTCATTTAAATAGAAAATATTGACTGTTCTCATAGTGTTTTAACAGTTTTAAGTATTGTTTTATAAGTATTCTGAGAGTGTTGAATATTTTGAAAATTTTTTTTTTTTGTTTTAAATTAGATATATAGCGGATCCAGGGTGACCTCTGTGAACTGATCTTCCTTTATAGATGCCTCAAAATGTTAAAACACAAATAAAATATTGAGGAGACAAAATTAATCAAGCCTTATTTTCTATTAGGTTCTACTGTTTTCTGATAAAAAATTTAGAAAAAAGCGACCTTTATACTCCAGATAATTATATATGTTGTATGTACTAATCCTGATGAAGTCGCAAAGGTGAAACAGTGGTTAAAATACAAAGTTATTTTATACTTGTCTGGAGTATAAAGGAAGTTTTTTCTAACTTTTTTCGCAAAATGTGTAAACCCCTCTAGTATGTACTACAAATTTGAAATACAACAAAAAAATTATTTCGTTTTCTAGAAGGCGCGTGATTTCATAACACAGAGTTTGAACCACAGAAATAGTGGTTTGAATTACACCCTTACATCTTTGCCTGTGTCTGTCTTTCCTTGATAGAACAACATAGGTCTCATCATTCTTTATATTTCTACTCTACCGTCAATAGATAAAAGGTGAAATTAATCACACGCTTCCAGTCATTCAAAGTCCAAAGTTTGTCCAAATATGAATGAATGTGTGCTTTACCGTCTCTATTAGAGATAAATGGTTTTTAAATTTATTGTCAGCTACTATGTGACAAATATTGCGAAGCGAATCTGAAAATGGATTAAATAAACTGTGAATTATGTATCATAAATCACAAAGTGCTAATGGAGTACATGAGAGAATCAAACCACAACTTGAACAGTAACAATGATTCCAATAGTTCCATTATTTTAAATCATTAACGGCCCTAGTTTTTACGGTATAAATTTTGAATTTTTTTCTCCCCAATTTGTCTTTTCTACTCTTCCCCACCTGTTGCACTTTTGTTATCTTTATCCAATGTTTAGTTCTTGCAAGGTTTTGCAGTTCTTTTTCTATGTCCCACTAGAATTTCACCATTTCACCTGTTCATTAACCTAATGGTAAAATTGTTTCTCGTAGCAGTTTTAGTTTTTTCATGTCGTGGAATGGGGAGATATGGCATTCATTCTGTCCACCATTTGGTGTATCCTTTCAATGGAAGATATGCCATTCATTCTGTCCACCATTTGGTGTATCATTTCATTGGGAGATATGACATTCATTCTGTCCAGCATTTGGTGTATCATTTCATCGGGAGATATGGCACTCATTCTGTCCACCATTTGGTGTATCATTTCATTGGGAGATATGACATTTATTCTGTCCACCATTTGGTGTATCATTTCATTGGGAGATATGCCATTCATTCTGTCCACCATTTGGTATATAACTTCAATGGAAGATATGGAATTCATTCTGTCTACCATTTGGTGTATCATTTCATCGGGAGATATGGCACTCATTCTGTCCACCATTTGGTGTATCATTTCATTGGGAGATATGGAATTCATTCTGTCCACCATTTGATGTATCATTTCAATCTCTTTTAAATCAAAATTAAAATTCAAGTCAAACTTAACACTTTCAGCTGGCAATATTAAACTTTCTGGACAAATAAAAGTTAATAATATTTATTGGGTTGAATAATATCTTTTCTTTTTCATGATTTATTTTACAGTATGTAAACTTTCACATTACCCATCACGCCATTACTTTCTCTTTTTACACATAGTTTGTGATTATACGTGTGCATGCAAAACCTGTCAATGGCTATCTGATCATCCAGGTAGCATGCATGTGTTATTTCTACCGAAAAGAGTTTACCTTATTCGATCTTGACAAAGAAGATGGACGGAGAGGTTGATCATTTTTGACATAATTGGCCAGACGCAAAACTAAAAATTTTATAACATGCAGTGTGTCGTATAAGGAGCATTGTGCTCTCTAAGCTGCGCGGCCGCACAACAACCAATCAAATGCCGCGCACTTAATTATTCCATCCGCGCACATCCCCAGTAATGGTGAGAAGTCTCAACACGTTGACGGCCTTAATGACTCTGGCAGTCGATAGGCCTAAAACCCAAATAACCAACTGGCTGGTAGCATTGCAAAGCGGCCTAATGATTCTATAGAGTTGATGGTCTAAAAAAATTAAACAAAAAAAAACTGGTAGCGCACATCCACACATTGCCGTGATACTGGTGCACATGAAAAAATTCACTCCACTCATGGATTGAAAAACTTAGAGAGAACATTGATCAGCAGTCAGAGGAATATGTGAAAGCATACTTCGATGAATCGTACAGCAAACGTCATCCACTGACAGTGAATAACTCTACTTATAAAAATATTTTAATTAACGACTGTCGCTTGTTGATTTAAGGTTATTCATAAGTTAACAACTTTTCAGCAACTCGTATGCAGAATTAGAAAACTTTTAACAACTTAATCGTTAATCCCAGAAAATACATTATAAAACTTTATCACTTTGAATGATTATTGTAAAAATTTTAATATTCATGTTAAGCACAACTCAAGGGATTGGAAGAATATGGCGAATAAAAGAGGCTGAGTGAAAACGATTTTAAAAATTCCGAATTGCCAAATGTACAGCACTCGTGCTGTCAGTCTGTCTTTCACGCAAAGTTATACAATGGGCTATCTGCGCCCTGTTGACTGTAGGGAATCGAACCCCGGATTTTAGAATTGTAAGTCCTGAAACTTACCGTTAATCTACCGTACTATCGTATGACTAGATTATGGTATCAAAAAAAAAGGAAAAACCAGAAAGTATAAGAATGCAAATGTAAAATATCCCGCTAAAAACGGTACATACAGTGTCTTGCAGCAGTATTCACTCCCCTGCAAAGTTTCCACATTTTGTTGCCCTCTGGGCTTGCAATCATGAAACTTACAAATGGGAAT